CAATATGCACAATATGTGTGATTCTAATAGACGAAAATAATATACAAATAGAGTATATATATATATATATATATATATAATTTTAAACAAAATGTGTATGGGATTAACTTTTCTCAAAAATAAAAAATATACGTTATCACCTTTCGAATGCGGGATGATTCACATTCCCGTTCAGGAGGAAAACACGCCGCCGTAGGCACAGTCATTTCAACCTCAATCATCTGTCAATACTACCGCTTCGATTCCGAGTCCACTAATGGTAGCGCCTCGATCAGGTCGGTCCTCTCCTTATCCTCTTCTTCGATTGAGATAAACGGAAGTACGAAAAGATACTAAACAATAGTCACAAACGTCGCGGACACTCTCTTGGTGTATTTCATCATTTTAGATCATAAATGGCAAATTTCTCCTAAGGTAGTGTATGGTAAGAGTGATTCTACAATTCTTATACACTTCACTTCGGTAACCAGCTTCAATAACAATGATGAATGAGAATAAGGAAGCTACCGGCGACTACAAAACGCACCGTGAGGCCAGCCTCTGCACTCCTAAGTAGTTGATCCAGCGTAAATCCACGTTGAGGAGCATTTACAGATGATGCACTTTCTTTGGTATCTTGGCAATCATTCTCTCTAAGCATAATCCCAGTGCCGTCGCATTCAGACTCATTAAAAATGGTGGGTTCATTTATGTACTCTGTCAAGTGATTGATGCTTGAGCAGCGGAAGTATAGAATATACCCGTGTCAATGATATGAGAAGTATACATCATCTGCTAGAGACCATATGATACCAGTGATGGTTTGTATACGAAAATGAAATAATCTTATACCTGCAATTCCCACATCCGTACCCTTAGTTTTATTCTCGTTTGGGTTAACTTTTCGATTTATAACGTAAATTTTCTTCAAAGAACATCAATAAGAAATTATGGTAGGGCTAACATGAAGGATATGCACGGTTCCATCCTATACCCTTTAACTTCACATCTCGCTTCCTCTCTTTCGACAAAGGAGGTTTGGAAAACGCACTTGGTATTGCTGTGGGAGTGATCTGGTTCGTCTTTTTTGGTCCCCTCAACGTGATGCTTCTTAGCAGCGGTATAATAAGCTGCTTCAAGAGACGCGGGCGGGCCGCACAACATGAAGTCATCGATGCGGATCAAGTTCACAAAGTAATGAGTTTGCATAGTATGGGATTGGTATTCCCGCGCCGGATAATTGGAGTGACCATATACCTAATATAAATCATGCACAACACAAAACAGCCTTAGCCAAAGACAGTGTGCACAGTAGAAACATGGGTCCATTATGAAAGCGCATGTTGTTGTATTAGCCGTCGGATTCAACATCTGGAACAGTATTTTTACCTGTAGTACAAAAACAGAAATTTCTACCTTAGAAATGTGGCTTGGCGCTGAAGATGACTCCGGTTGCAGAAAAACATCTAGACCTTGTATGGCATCGTCGTTTTTATCTTCCACATAGAAAATCTATTGGTGTATTATCCTGATACAGTAATAGGACCCTCCTGTCAGTTTAGATTCATACTCAAACACCCCTTTATCTTCTTGATAGTCAACACTGACTGACGAAACTGCCTCGGTTAGTGATGAGGCTGGGCTAGAGATTCCTTTCGTGACTTTTAGACTCCGAAAAACAATCCATTCAGTTCCTTCAGTGCATAGCGTAAGTATGCACAATTTTAGAAAAGGTACACTAAAAATAAAAGGCAAACCAAAATACTCTTTGTATTTTTCCCTCAGTCAGTGATTAATATAACTTAGTGATAATCCTATGGAGTGTTTTATATCCATTTTACTCACCTCAGCTTTGTGTAGCGTAGTTTGGTCTGCCTGCAGGATAAAGATGGAGTTCGGTGAGCGCAATTGAGCACATCCCCGCAAGACGCCAAACCAGCTCATATAACAACATGTAGAAAGAAAACGATAACAAGTCAAGCAGTGGTGATAATACCAGAATAAGAGGACTCGCTGCTTTAGCTACCAAACAGGCACTGCCACGTATATCGGGAGAGGTGTTATAAGTAAAAGCTTATGAGGTGTTAAATGTTTTTTTTGTGCGAACAAAGAAACCATAACACTCGCTTCTCGATATTGCGTCACCGTAATATCAAAGGAAAATACAAGAAGAAGTCTTGTATAAACACTTTCAATGATCAATTGGTATCCTCAGCATCACTACTGATAGTCTTTTCCTCCATAATAAACTTCAGAAACACAAAAACACTATCAAGAGTGATAAACAGAAAAGAAGTAGGGGTTAGTTAAGAATTATCATCCGAAAATACTTCGCTAAACTTTACCATGTTATCTATCTCACCTGTGTTTGCCTCTAGGTGCCTTTTGAGGTATTGTAAAAGTTTACATTGGAAAACCTTGCTCTCTGTCTACGCTTGGAAAGGTAAGAACTGAGTGAGTCAGATGGATTTAATATGAATATATTGGATAAAAAGCTAAAAAGTCTGTGGCATCACGACCGACTTTTGGAGTGTTTTTACAGAACGGCCGATTTCAACAACATCAGAACTCCTGGTGGTGTCGCGGTGCTCATGGGGCTGGGTCAATCCCTCATTGTATACTAAAAGCTAGCGTTTCATGATCGCGACCATAAAAGCATTCATAATGAACTATCAGAGCGTGTTCTACAATTGAAATATCATTAATATATCCAAACATTGTTTAGTTGATCTGAAGGAACTCATTGATGAAACTGGCAGCAGAACTTGTGAGGGACGTTCACAATGCTTCATTAGTATAAGATGTAATCAAACCATATTGAAGGCCTCAGGAAGCAGACCGTAGATTTGGCTCTTCCTTTCAAGTCTCATTAAACTTGTCCTCCTTGCAATCATGTAGTTAGATGTGGTTTTATGACGCTTCCCATTAAATTCCAAATGCTTAAATTTTATGCGTAGTTAGTGTCTACCAATCATCTTTAACCTCAGCAAAAAGTGACTCTATATGAGCCGAGAGGTAGATATGTGTATTATTTACATTACTACGCCGCCCATGTTACTTTAGAGAACCACAAATATTAGTTTCTAGAAACGAGTTGTCTGTGTCATAAAAGAATAAGTAGCTATATAACGAAGATATATTGAAAATACAGATGTCATTCAAAGTAAATGTGTTTGAAAGATGAAAACAACTACCTAGTGTGACCACCATTCCAGACATCAGGAAGTGAAGCAACATGGAGACGAATTACATTATTGATAATAAGCAGCGACTGTTTGGAGCTGCATGGCAGTTATTTTTCTCAGAGAAGAATTTAGTATAAAGGAAAGCGAAGGAAGGTAACCCAGGAAGGGCATCTTATACGTTCGGTATTGTTGATTCAGTTGTGCTGTTATAACTGAACAGAGTCCCCTACGCTACCACCTCCGCTCGACCAAATTGAACCAAAATAGGCTCATATTGAAGCTGATAAATCAGTGTCTCTATGGAAAGTTTACAAAATGTTCAGAAATAAATATGTTAAGGGAATCTTTGAACACTCCGGTGTTGAAGAGTGGTCTACTATCGTAGTACTCATCATCCCGAGAAATAAAAGGATATTAAGGGAGAAACAGGCAAGAGAAGTGTAGTGGAAATTAATTTTCAAGTCACATGCGTGAAATGGCACATTTGGGGACACCAGAGACGGAAATAAAGTCGGATCAATAAAACGTAGTTGCGGAAAGTGAATCAATTCCGTAAGTTCGGAGCACAATGAGTCTTGACAGTTAGAGATAAGTAAACACCATAAGCCAAAATATGAAAATACATCTAAGCGATTTCACCATTGACCAATAAATAATACAATCTCAAGTTCGAAAATCTCATATTCATTGTAATTTTTATTTGGAAGATTCTTTCTAAATGTCGAAGTGATGAGCTGGCTACATCACTTGAGGTACCAGCGCTATATTTCCATATCAAAAAAGATTTGGTCCTGATATTGACATCAAGTAAGTTATAAATAAACGAATTTAATAATAATAAAGCACTCATCAATAATCATGTCTACGACGAGTGCAATATGGAATGTTTTACAATATTGACATTTGTGCATATAATCTTGTGAAGTTTCTGTATAAATATCATAATAATGTAGCATAACTTTTTATAGTTTTCACACAATCTGTTAAACAATAACTAATTTATATTATCCATCACTGAAATCATACGGAGATTTTGACAGATTTATGAAATCTATTAATTTAACACTTATTGTAACTTTATTCTTTATCGAAACAGAAATATGATAATCATATTCAAATGGTTTTGTTTATAAGCTATTAATCTGAATGCCTTGAAGCGATGCACCAATGCTTAAATTTCTTTTGCTTCATGTGTACAGGAATAGAAAAGGCCTCTGAATAGATAAAAAAATCATCATCCATATGAACTTCCATTTTAGGCAGTTTAAATGTCAGAAGGTTCAAAAATATAGATATTTTTATGGAAAGGAGAGAGATGCTGAGTTCATAAATGACAACTTCATGATTAGATCTGGAAAAATCTAAACAATATAATGTTCTGTTAATATTTGAAGACATATTGAACTTTTTTTATATAAATTCTGTGATCCCATTATGAAAAGTACTTCGGGCCCACTACTGTCTACTTAAGTATCCACAAGAACAATCCATGGTAGATTCAAATCTACTAGCATTTGATTGTAGTATTTTGTACAAGTCATTTTTTACAAAATGTACTTATTGCGGTCAAAACATCGTTATGGCATGCTGATGGCTTAGAGATTATAAAGTGAATAATATACTTCCACCATGTAGATGAATTCGCACGTGTAGGTCGTGAAGCTGACCTATGAATCTTCACAGAAGATTTTTCTTTTAATCAATAAATTAAAATAAACTATCAAAAGATTTCGATAAATAAATAAACCTCCAGACTCAATAAGAGTAGAGAATTGGGAATTATTATTAATAGTTTAATCCAATATTAGTTGTTACTTTTTCGATGTCAAATAACTCTGAGAATTTGAAATGTCATCCCATACTCAAGCAAAAACTTCAAAACTGAGTAAAAATTTTTTTTAGTTAGAATTCAACGACACCTTGGGAAGCCTCCAGTTATTAATGAGCAAGGTAATATTTGAAATAACAACACATCTAAAAATATTACAACATAATTCGCTTGAAGGAGATTGTATATAGTCTAATTCAATTGATTCAAATATTATTTTTGAGGATTTTTGATACACGACGATATTTTCATAATTAGGGTTACCTGTGTCACTCACAGAAAAATGGATAACTCATTTACCTCGACTTGAATATTTTAATATGGATACGTTTAAAAATCCAGTCTTAGAACTTTTATATATATATATATCATTGCTGGATTATATATTAATGCCTATTTTTGTAAGATTGCGTATCTCCAGTTTGGTACGCAGATTTATCCCGTCTATTTCTGGTTTGGTAAAAAGACAATGTATATTCTATCCACTTCGATTTAGCATCTTTTACTATACAAAATACAGCATGGTACCCTAATATTTAAGGAGCTGATTGTACACCTTAACTATTTTATAAAAAAGTATTTAGTAAGGACTCAGGGAACAATTCTAGGTTATGAAACTCTGCCGAGACCCTAAGGATACTGATACGAAAAAATCCGTGTCGATTTTATTTCGAATTTACCGAAATACGAAGTTAATAGACTAAATAGAAAATGTTAAAATAGCATGGTTCATTTTCTGGTTGTAACTGCCTAAATTACTATGAATAGAACTAGCAGTTAAAATAATTGATAATTCAAAAAAAGATTCATTCGTACATATGTATATAGATATAAATAACCACATATACACCAGGTTTATTATCATTGAAGTTTTTTATTTGGATTTATATATTTTTACCATATGCGATCATATTAGTATCAATAATAGCAAAAGTAAAGACAAGGATATATTTATAGAAAAATTTTTGAAAATGGTACACCACAGTAAATGCACGACTCAACTGGTTTGTTTGGGTGATTGTTAATTAGCAGTTTGCCATCAAAAGATATGAGCTTTTCGGTAAAATTGATTGTTTTTCTAAAGTTGCTAGAACCAGGAAGGCTGTTATACTGATAACCATATTCTATCCCTAAATGTAGTAACTCCTTCGCATCGCTCGAAAGATGGGCAACGTAAGCGTAAACCAAACCTTTTCCTGAAAAAAGGTGCCAATGTGCTTCTAAGCAGTCATTTTTACACTTTTCTGTGCATACATATACACGCCCATGAAGCATCTGTCGCAATGAAAAGGTTTTTGCATCGAAGAAGCAATTTCGTACTCTTGGAACGTGTAGTAATGTATGTCGAGCTGTTTCCTTTAAATCAGAAACCGCTTCAAAGTCCTTATCAATAAATGGGTTATTAGACACCTCATCACTTTTGTCAGACGATGAACAGACATTCGAAGAACTTTGTGCAGCTGTCAAAGCAGCTTTGGCAGGGTTAAGATGAGGATTCGCTTCCCTTTCTTCAGGGTGCAGTTGCAAAGGTTTTAATTTTTTTCTTTCAAAATATTTTTCTATAGCAGAGAAAATAACATCCGCTTCTTTCAATGTATTTCTATCTCCTGAAAATATTAGAACACCTGGTTCATTGCTTGATTCAGAAAATTTCAAAACATCAAACAGATACTCCTTAAAGTTATTCGATAACCCCTCAGTATACTGTTTAATAACTGGGTTTTCTATTTTAATTTTCCGAAACTTCGGTTCATCAAAGTTCAGGATAATATTTGCTAGTAACGGTCTGAAAACTCCGTCCATTGCTTTAGTAACAGAATTTGGGTATTCAGATTCAATTTTATCTGTCAATGCCGGATACATCTCCTGAGAAAAAATATAACTTACAATGTATTTTGGATTTTACCACGCTATGCAGATTCGAGACTATAATAAATATGTAACACAAATGAAGAGAAAGTGAAAATAAAGCTACATTAATAATATCCAATAGAGTTGTTTTTAAGGAATTCAAGCAAAAACAATCCCTTATTACATACTTAGAGACTTGAAAG